GGTGACCGCTGTTGATGTTGTCCTTGTGACTAGCGGAACCCGTCGACCGACCTGCAGAGCCGATGTATATTCTTTCCCGGTTTGCAGCACAGATGCGATGGTCATCGATCAACGAACAATCGGTGTTGCCAGTACATTGCCCACTGTCGAGGATAATTTCAAAACTTGTTACTGCTTAATTGTTTGCCTTAGTCGGCCTACACTGCGCCGACTCCTGCCGGCTGAAATTTAAGCACTCGTCCTGGCAGAATGCAACCTCCGCAGGCAACGACCTTCAGGGAAATCAGTTGTTCGGTTGATGGCGGAGAGCAATCCCTCTTCTGACACATTTTGTCCGGTTTCGTGTTTGACCGTGCGTAGCACCGTCGCCGGTTGCTTGCCATGTGACCACGTTGACGATCAGCCGCGTTCTCGCCGCTCCGGTGGTGGCCGAGGGCTAAGAGGTCGATTTCCAACTCCAGATGTGCCGGATTTGAGTCTTGAATAAAATTCTCCTAACTGGTCTAGTGATTCGCTTGAGCAAGTAATTCGTCCCACGCTGCTTCGGCGCAGCCAGCTGAGAAACCACCGCTGTACAGACAGTCCCTGACTCACGTATAATATTTTACTCATGCCAAATTGTTGTGAAAAGGCTATCGAAAATGTTTGTTTTAAACACGTCTATTTTATTCGCACACAAACTAACAGCGGTTTTCCTCAAGACAGACAGGCGGCGCACCTAGAGCATGCTTGTATCTTCCACGGTCTCACTTTGTTTACTGCTGAACACGGGTGTGCTATGCATTTGTATTCGCACACTTCAATAATTCGTTGTTTGCGTGCTCTGTGCTACAGTACAGTTATGATTTATGAAGCGAGGAAAGAGGCCACTCTTCAGTCATCTCTTGAGAATTTCACAAGGACGCTCATATGGCGAAATTATGCAGTTTTTCTTCTTGTTCCCTGCTATGATTTATACGGTATTGCATTACTTTGCATTGATCGTAAAGTATTTAAATTTAATTTGAGTGTGCATTCTGTGAATGAAGCTAGCAGAAATAACCCTTAGAAGATGTTAATATACCACTGTATACCGCAGCGTAAACGCGTGAGTACTATGGTATGAATAACGGTTCGATGGGTTAAACTCGACCTACCTAAAATTGGTGTTACATGAGGGCCTGCGGAACGTGATTTTTACACGAGGGGCGGTCTCTGTATTTTCATATGGTCATAGTAGAATGAAAGTGAGGAGTAGGACGCCGTTGTCCGATCCGATCCGAGCGAATTTTATGACTGCAATTCGTCTTTACCAGCCAGTGCGGCAATCAGCACAAGGTGTAAACTCTCATGTCTTATGTTATTTAAGCGTACTTAAGCCGAAAACCCGACGTCCGAGTCCGAGGACGAACTTCCTCGAAACCGTTCAACCTAAGGCACCCTTCGCCTCGAAAGAACGCCTTCGAAAGTTTTTGAGCGTTGCGAAATGCCACATGAAAGGCGTCACGAGTTGATCTTTCTATAATGTCGTGATCAGGCTGAAACACGCCATCACAGAGGTGCTGGACCCAACCTTGACCGGGTTTCTCGACCTCCCACGTTCCTCAACATTCTGGTGTGAAACTTCGCCTTACCTGGTTCCAAACGGATCGACAGATAACCAGGATTCTTAACTGAAGACGTCGTTTCTGGAAGTACGTCATCCAACGCCTTTGCGGTGCTTAGTAGTTGACCACCGTTGCAGTAGTCGACGTTTCTACCGTGGCATTTTGCTTTATTCTAGCATCAGCAGTTACTGGAAGAATGGACTAGCAATTACTGGTAGTTGTGCTGTTGAACTACTACTGCCTATCAGTCTGAAACGTGAAGAAGATGTTGAACTACACAGAGGATGGTGAGTTTAGACTGCGGCAGATAAAGCCGCCCTTGAACACTTCCAATGACTAAGTCAAGGTAGTTCAATAGATCGAGGTTATCACGGTCAAAAATACGCCTTCAAATTCTTATACAGTCTTTCACCTCCCTTCCGCCTTTCTCAGGCAAATAAATGATTACCA